CCCCAAAACCCCAAAACCCCAAAACCCCAAAACCCCAAAACCCCATATTTTGAACTAAAAGTTGGCAGGTTATGAATTAAGTTGTGAATTGGCTGAGATAGTTCCTTCCTTTAGTATCACCTGAGTTCAACCATCTATTCTTCTTTAGCTTCCCTTGATCTTGGATTGCCTGGAGTTGGTTCCTAGCACTAAGAGGAGCATAGTTCATGTTCTTGGTTTCAGAAGGACGTTTTGGGATTTTTACGGGTTTGGATTCTGAATTCTCATTACCCCAATTCATACTAGATAGAATTCTTTGGTTGAAGCTTGAAATTTTATGGGATGGAGAATCCTCTTCTTGTTCTCTAGGACTAGCCATTTCAGAGTTTACTAGCTTAACCGTCGCACTGTGCTAAAGACTTCATCAAAATAGGCTTACCTTTAATGCCTGAAGCGAAAGTTTCTTCAGAAGTGACTGATTCCTTGAATTCCTAGAAATATTAAATGCTGTAGCTACTTTGGAACATATTTTGGTAAAATAGAAATCTGAGATTGCTTCTGATAATTTCCATATGAGCCTGTCTCATTGAAGATATTCTTGGGAGACAGATTGATCAATTCTGTTATATCTCCTTGCTTTATGATAGTATCTTCATTCTTTTTAGGGCGTATCTCACTCTGATCAAGCATAAAATCATCAATCATTTCCTCATCCTGAGAAGCATTGTATCGATCCCTTGTCGATATTATTGGAGGTAAACTTCCTTCTTCATAGAAACTAATACCTTGACTTTTTTTTGGAGCCCCAAGGTTTCTTAGCGATTGAGAGTTTGATAGAATTCCTCTCACTTCAAATGGCTTATTGGAGTATGTTTTAGAGTAATCATTCCTAGAAATATTTCTTACAAGAGATTTATAGCTGGTTCCTTTCTTAATTTTAGAGCATCCTTCCTTGATAGTCACTCCACTTCGGGGATTAAATGAGTTAAAGAAGGAGCCACCTGATTCGACCATGCCATTGGTATGTTGATCTTCAGCTTCTTTTTTGTTCCCAGCTTTCCTGATACTACTGGATATATTCTTCCTTTGGCTTTTAGTGTTGTTGGGGTCATCATTATTCCGAATCTTAAGACCACGGATTTTATCTCGATCATCCTTCTGCTTCTTCAGACGATTCTGAAATTCCTGAAAAGAGGACTTCACTTGTGAATGTGGGTTATTATGGTATCCAGGAGCAACGTCTTTGCCAACCTGGGGTAAATTATGGACATTAAACTTTCTTTTGGTTAGTATATTACCCTTAGTGTCAAATGTGACTTTATTGATATCTATTTTGGAGTCAGCTCGTTTCCGATGGAGAGCGTCTTGTTGAGCCTTGAGGTCAAGCTGTAACTGGGCTTTCTCTTTTGCCATTTCCTACAGATTAGGAGAAATATACCTTATTTTAGCTTAAATTCTCTCATGTGGAGAACTTGGGAATCTTCTTTCATTTCAAGGTCTTTTGTCTTGTAATTTATGACAGTGGTTCTCCCATTAGAATCCTTGTAGATTACCTGCTGCTTGGAGGTTGGCCTTGAGATTTTGTTTAAAGGAACTTGTTCAATTTTGTTGGCAGTGTCTCTAGTGAGGTTTAGATGCACTTTTGCCTTGATCATTAACTTTTCCATGGTAGAAGTCTGCTTGGAAGTAGCAGATTTTATGTCGAACTCTTTAATACTCTTAGAAAGAGGTCTTTTATTATTGCTAAAATTTTCAAACTGATCAATAGCTTTTCCATTTAAGTAGTTTATCTGTTTATTTCAAGTATTTCCAATGTCATTAGAATGCTCTTTCTCTTTAATTTCGATGAGATTTCTTCGAGCTTTATGACTGAAAATGGTAGTTTTCTGAACAGAAGTATGATCTGCAGCATGTCAATCTATTTTTGGAGGAATGATATCATCCTCCTCTAACAACCAAGAATGGAACTGGTCATCCTTGTCAGCAGCTGTTTCTCCTTCATCGTGGAAGAATGAGTATTTTTCCAAGAGTAGTGGAGCATATTTCAAGGTCTCATTATGAATATGTGAATCTAGCTTAGGAAGAAGTGTATTATCAATATAATCTCTTCACTCGAAACGAGTCCAGATTTTATCGAGAACATATCTAGCAGCAACATAAGGCATTGCTAGATCATTAATGAATGGATCCATTTTAAGAGCTGCATTTCCTAATTTATTTTCACTATTTTTGTTCTTGTTCTGATTCATTCCATTGCTTGTTTGAGAATTATGAAGCTTTGATTTTTCCTCTATAGAAATAGTTACTGACCAAAGTAATTTGTTCAGTTACCTATTTGAGAAGTGTTGCTGTTTGGACTGTTATTCTCCTGATTTTCACCGTCTTCCATTAATAATTCTTATAAATTTTAGATTTTATTTAAGAAAATTCAGCATTGAGACTTGAAAAAGGGGTTTTGGGGTTTTGGGGTTTTGGGG